GCAAATAAATATAGGCTGCAGTATAATGCAGCAGAGAATGAACAAAGACCTGTTGATACGGTATACCAACACGCACAAGAAGCACACACTCATTAAATGATTAATTAGGAAAGGGATCAGAAAAATGCAACAGCACATAGCCTGAAATGAACGAATAAAGCTGAACGAATTTTAGGGTCTTGTAACCCGACACACACTGGGGAAAACCCATAAGGCCACGAATATTTCATTGTAAATAAGTCATTATTTACAAAGACAGATATGCCAACATTAAGTAGCGATAAAATCTATGGCCTATTAGGGTCAGTGAAGTCAATGTGTGGAGGCAACGGAAAGCATGTAAGCAAGGAGGAATCAGAATGCTATGAAGGAAAAGATTGCTGTGAGGGTCATGAAAAATAAGAAGGGGTAGAAGGAGGCATGATGGTTTCCATCGAGTGCTTCGTCTCTGCATTATAGTTGGAGAAAGTGTCAAGTGTCTCAGTGGATAAGGAAGATGCCGATACCATGACTTCAAAAATCGGTGAGGTAGAGCAAGTAGAGATAGGGGAGACTTTGGTGGGAACCAAAGAGGTTTGAGAGGGAAGGGGAGTATAAACCTGGCGAGGTGTGCCGGTGGGGACAGAAGAGTCCTGCGATGGAACAGGAGAGGAAGGAGGCTGGGAGGTAACTGGGGAAGAAGTCTGAGGGGTACCAGGAGAAGAGGGGACCACATGAGAGGGGTGAACCTCCACCTTCGTGTGAGATTTAGAAAGGGGGTGAGAACTACGCACTGAGGCCGGGGAATTGTAAGCACTGGACGAATGTGAAGAGACTTGGGTTTACGAGACAGGTTCAGCTTTGCAGGTGATGGGCGGGAAGAAGATACAGGTGTGCGAGGCCTTGCAGGCTGAGAAACTAGCTGGCGAGAAGAAGTAGAGGTAGGAGTAGGTAAGGAGGTGGGGCTTCAGAGGATAAAACTGCAAAAGAATTAGAGACGGGGGTGACCCCAAAAGACACAATACCGGAGGAGCTGGTAGGCAGGGAGCTGCTAAGGTTGGAGGTCTCGTAGCTACTCGCTAATCAGGGATACGAGGAAGAGTCCCCTGAAGGCAAAGCCCTGAGAGAGTTTTAGCCTAAGGCCTCCTGAAGACAATCAGTTTCTTGTTCATTAAGATGGACCCGACATCGGAGGGAAAAAGATGGATGAGGTTCGTTGCAATTGAGGCAAGTCGAAGGGGAGGGGGGAAGACTGCAAGATGTATTGGCATGATCTGTGGCACCACAGACCGGGCACTCTGCTGCAGATCTACAGTATTTAGCAGGGTGCCCAAAGTGCCAACAATTTTGACACTGGGAGTAGGGACCACTTTATGGACCTCTAGGTGATGGCCCATGATATAAACAGAGGACGGGAGTTCACTGCAGTCAAAGGTTAAGTGGGCGATGCTACTGAAAAAGTGCCTCCACCTGCAATGGGCAGAATATATATATCCACTTTGAGAAAAGGAAGGTCCTGAAGGGCTAAGTGCTCCATAATATTATCACCAAGTCAGAAAATCACTCTGTACTGTGGTATGTGGGCAAACCACTGTACCACTGCAAGAATTGAGAATAGCATACTTGTGAACTGCGATTGGAATGTTATCAATGGAAGTAAGATGGGAAAGATCATGAGCTTGTTCTGCATTCTGAACTGTAACGATACACACACCACTACGAAGAGCGTGAAAGGATGTATTTTGGCCAACGTGTTGTAAAACAGCTTTGTTGTAGGGAAAAGAATTTAGTATACTGTGTACTTGTAAACGTGGTGTGTAAAGGAAGTGGGTGTCGCATAGGTTGTTTTTGGGTGGAATAAGCATACATCGAAGAACCGTCATCAGCAAATAGTCTGGAACGTTCAGGTGTAGTACCATGGGTGGCCCAACCTGAGGGAGGTGGGCAATCCGAAAACTGTCGCACCATATTCAGGGAAGCTGGATGCATAGTTAAAGGCGCGCAAGAGGCAGAGGCACTAGAAGAAACAGGTGGAGCCTCAGCATCTGGAACAGGTAACGAAGTGTCACCAGCAGAAGGTACAGTGGTATGGGAAGAGTCTGGAGAATCGTCCAATAATGAAGCCGGGTCAGAACAGGATGTTTTAACAAACAGGGGCCGGGAAGGAGGAGGGTTATCATGGAATGAAGACTCCATGATGTTGGTACTTTTCTTATTATTATTTTTTAAGAAATAAAAGAAAGAAGGAAAGAAAAAAAAGGGACAGTGGAGGGACAGTCGCTAGAAGGCATGAAAGGGCTGCAAGTTCCCCTTCTCATCCGAGAGGATCTCGAGACCACGAGCAGTGCAGATGCAGCATGGAACTTGTGCCATACCTTACCCCATCATGCCAGTAAACCAGCACTCCGGGATAGCAACCTCACATCTACCGAGCCACCTCGGCGGACAAAAGAGAGGGCAGTCCGCAGTCCGAAACCTGCCACAAAGCATACCTCCTCCGGCTGCCACTTCCCAGAACTGACAGGCAACCTCTGGAGATACTCCCGTCACCTGCAGGACACCCCGCCCGCTTCTCGGAAATTTGGGAAGGGAGCAGGGCGCCTGGAGATAATTCAGATTCCACGGCAAACTACACCACACCCGAGGATCCTCATGGACTGGGATGAGCCCGGGTATACTTCCCCCTACCTAGAAATCGTAGTTTTGAAAATAATATAAAGATTTCTTTCGTTTTATATAAATTGGATTCATTTATAATTAATAAAATTTGGGAAGAATTTAATGGTACATTAGACAAGTAAAAAATCTTAATGCTTGGGTAAAGTATTAGGTGGGTTTTACAGAGTCGGGCGTTGTCACATGTGTGTGAGGTGTAGCCTTGTTGTGGTTACGCGATTGTGAAGTATAGTCTTGACCCTTTATATGCCTTCCTGTTGATGTTTGGTTTCTTATAGTTCCTTGATAATGTCAGAAGTCACGAAAGCGCTTGGAATTTCGGTATTCTTTCACAGTGGTTGTTTTGCATATTGTGATATCACCTGTTTACTGTGATCTTATCGGGGGGGCGCGCGCGCGCACACACACACCACACACACACACACACACACACACACACACACACACACACACACACACACACACACACACACACACACAATATACTGCGTGGAATAGACAAGGTGGACAAAGACAGGATGTTCCAGGGAGGGGACACAGAAACAAGAGGCCACAATTGGAAGTTGAAGACACAAATGAGTCAGATATTAGGAAGTATTTCTTCAGTCATAGAGTTGTAAGGCAGTGCAATAGCCTTGAAAATGACGTAGTGGAGGCAGGAACCATACACAGTTTTAAGACGAGGTTTGATAAAGCTCATGGAGCGGGGAGAGAGAGGGCCCAGTAGCAACCGGTGAAGAGGCGGGGCCAGGAGCTAAGACTCGACCCCTGCAACCACAAATAGGTGAGTACAAATAGGTGAGTACACACACACACACACACACACACACACACACACACACATATATATATATATATTTATATGTCGTGAAGAATAGGCAGAACTTGCGATCTTGGCTTAAATAGCAACACTCATCTTGCCATATGGGACAAGCAAAAATTTGTGTATGCAATAATTTCGTCAAAATCATTCTGAACCTAACGAGAAAAATACGTATCACTGTGTTTATTTAATATTAAATTACTGTAAACAAATCTAAAATATATTTAGTTGGGTTAGGCTAAAATAAATTTTTCTTGTTATAATAAGGTTAGGTAAGTTTTCTAAGATTCTTTTGGAGCAAAATTTAAATTTTTTTACATTAACATTATTGAAAAAATATATCTTTAAACGTATAAGAGAAAATTTTAGAAAGGATTTAATTTTAAATGAGTTCTTGCTAATTTACCAGTTTTACATATTCGGCTGCCTTGGATCAAACGTGTAGCGCAAGCTACACGCCAAGGTATTGTCCAGTGTGGGCAGATTGGTAAAGCACTGCGTACCTTGTCCTAAGGTTCGTAGGTTCGAGTCTCCTTCCGCCAGAGATCAGTGTTTGTGTATATTTCGCCTGCTCTCGCGAATTCCTTGCATTGTTCAAATCTCTAGTAAGGCTGATGCATGCAGGGGATGAGATGAAAAGCTGTAAGCCTTCTCCCTGAAAGTTGGCTGCCTTGGATCAAACGTGTAGCGCAAGCTACACGCCAAGGTATTGTCCAGTGTGGGTAGATTGGTAAAGCACTGCGTACCTTGTCCTAAGGTTCGTAGGTTCGAGTCTCCTTCAGCCAGAGATCAGTGTTTATAATATATTATATATATATAATATATATATATATATATATAATATATATAAATGTGTCTTGCCGAATATGTAAAACTGGTCAATTAGCAAGAACGCATTTAAAATTAAGTCCTTTCTTAAATTTTCTTTTATACGTTTAAATATATATATTTTTCATTAATGTTAATGTAAAAATTTTTAATTTTGCACCAAAAGAATCTTAGAAAACTTACCTAACCTTATTATAACAAGCGCAATTTATTTTAGCCTAACTCAACTAAATATATTTTAGATTTATTTACAATAATTTAATACTAAACAAACAGTGACATATATTTTTTTCGTTAGGTTCAGAATGATTTTGGTGAAATTATTGCATACACAAATTTTCACTTGTCCTATATGGCAAGATGAGCGTTGCTATTTAAGCCAAGATCGCAAGTTCTGCCTATTCGGCAGAACTTGCCGAATAGGCAAGGAGGAATTCATAGTCACTGCAGTAACCTAAGTGACGGGATAGCACAGGTAGTTTGTTCGTTATTAGGTTAGTTACCTACTAGTTAACAGGAGGTAAGTGTTAGTAATTGTTACCTACTTCTCAAGTTAAGGGGTCAAATGAATTTAGGAAAAAATGAACTTAAAAAACTGAGAGTACTTGTATATATTAACAAGGCTTTCATAAAACTTTTAAAACAAAAGAGCCCAAGAATTTAAAGATTAGGCTCCGAGGACCAGGCTGAAGACTCACATTGAGACGTTGAGGAAGAGTGAGAGGATGAACTCGTTGTAGATGGCCAGTGA